TCCGTGTCTGTCTAAACTACGGAACGTGGCAGATAGGATGAAATTCGTGTTTGTCTCGCAGCACTCTATTGTAAATATAATGACACATAAAGTCTCAATCATTTGCTCTGAAAAAATCTGCGTTATTTAGAAGCCGTTTTATCTTGTATGAAGGTATTTTAATGTTCCTATTTTCTAGTAGTAAAAACCTCTAATTTGAACGTTTATAGATATGATGATGAGTGAAATAGATAGATAAAGCTTATTTTCTAGTTCGCTGCTTCGAACCCTAATTCTATTTAATTTATTATTAAAACACTGGTGAATATTTTATACAATGTACAAAGATACATATCATTACTTTGTTTATCACTTGTCATCAATGACTGTCAAACACTCACTTTTATAAAAAATGAAGTTGTGAAACTGTTTTTGATGTAAGTATTTTTAATTTTTCACAACAAATTTAACTTCATCAAACGTTTTATTTAGGATGAGTAATAACATTTGTTCATATTATTAGTTTTCAATGAACTTGTTTGACTATTTAAAGTTTTATTTGTCTATGATAACTTGAACATGATTTAAGAGTATAAATGAAATATGATTGTGACTGTCCGTTGCTTGCTTCCGTCAATATTCTCTTGTTCATCGTTTGATGTCAATACTGTTATCTCAATTTCGAGTGATTGTTATTTTTTTTTCTTTTTCTTTCTCTCTCAACTAATCCCTCAAGTCACTTGTCTATGTGCTTGTTTAATGTCCATCATCGTTTATCCAAAATCAAAATGTACATTTTAATTTCTTCTATTCGTGTGATATATATTAGAGATGTAGTGTAATGGTGTACATACAGTCGTTAATCAAAATAAATTTTTCTTATTATGTGATTTATGATTATTAATGTTGTTCCATATGTTTTCAAAAACATATGCGTATTATTCGTGAAACGATAGTTGAGCAATCGTTTTTTTGTTTTGACGCTTTTGAATTTAACATTTCTTAAGATCAACAAAATCGAATAGATTTTGTACTTTTGGATGGGAGAAGAGGAAGGCATGTGAGTAGTGAGAATGAATGAAAAGAGCATAATTCAAAAAAAGCTTAAAATCTATTAGATGAAACTTTGTTTAATTAAATATTATAATTACAAGAAAATATCTGATAAACAAAGACATTTTCAACAATTTCAAGTACAACTGAAGCAATTGAATGAATTCAAAGACGTTCAAAATTGCTGCAGAACGTATGTGTATGATTGTATAAGAGACTGCACACAAATATAGGTTAATTGTATTGACTGGGAATATCGAAGTAGTGAAATATCTTTCATGTTGAAGCGTATCAACTCAACTCAACTTTAGAAAATCTCATTTAAAAAAACTTACAAAAATCCTCTTTGAAAGTTCGTCAAAATCTTGATAAAATATAAATATAAGATGAATACAATTGATATAGTGAGCTAGAAATACAAATTTGTAAAAATTTTTATTTCTCTATTGAAAATTTTAAAGTATTAGAGTCTGTATATCGATTTAAGTTAAAGATCGATCAATAATTGTCATAAACGCGCCAGTAAGATTTCTCAAACTCTTGAATGAAACAATAGATTCAATTTTTCATAGTTTAAGATTATTTTTATGGTAGAATTGTTTCTTAAGTATTTAGTTAAACATTTATGTAACAATACAAGTGATACCATTACTATTATCTGATTAGAGTAGATCAAAGGATTTGTTGTCAAATTTAAACTTTTATTTGTAGCACTGAATAACAATTTCCTTCATGAAAAACAGCATATGTCTGCATTAAAGTTGAATATGAATTTTTTTTTTTTCTATTATTTTACTTATGAGGAACAAATAATACAAAAGCAAAAATACAAATATAACATTTAACAAAACGACGATGATTAATAACGTTATTTTTTTTTGTGTGTGTTTTTTGAGAAAAAGTCTGAAAAAAAAAATTAGAAATGTTATCAATTAAAGAAAAGAAGTATGAAAAAAAATGATACTGAAATAAGCAAGAAAAATTATTTTATAACTAACGGATTTATGATTAATTTAGTGAGAAATGTAGTACAATTATCAAGAGTTTCAATTTTAGATAGTAACTAACATCGAGGTTTTTCTCGTTATCATTTTTTTTAGAATACGGTAGCAATAAATATTTCACAATTTAGACGAGAGATAATGAATGATTACGCATAATTAAACATGTCTTTGATGAATATTGTATACGAGTTTAGATAAAATGAGGAAGTTGAATATTATGACAAACAAAAAATTTTTAATTTTCAACAAGAACTAAACCAGACGGAATAAAAATCTCGACATTTTCAAGTATTTTATATGTAAACCCATTATTTCCTTTATTAAAATAAGAATCGGTGCTTTGTCTTAATATATCACATTTATAATATTTCCTTTTTCTATTGTTTTGGTTTTTTCCTTATTGAAATAATACAATTTATTTGAAGAAAACGGTCTGGTGAAAGAAAATTGTAAAAAAAAAGAAAGTTGAGTGACTAAGTTAAATTGACGTTTTTTTCGGGAATTAAAATACGTTAAGTACGTAAAGAACGTTAATTATATACCATTGTATTGTATCAAAATTTAAGAAATTTTTCTTTGATACTAACTAGAAGAAGATGTTTAATAGGCGTATAATTGTTAGTTTTAATTTCTCTTTCTACTAAGCTTTTAGCAGTAAAAAAAACACATAGTGTAAAATGTACTCATTTTTAGCCTGGTGTTCACATAGACAGTTAAATGTATCTAAATAGATAATAACTTCGTCAATTGCTTAAAAAGTCATGCATACCAAACTATACTATATACATATATATATTTTTTTTTTTCTAATTGCTATTTACATAGTAGTTTTAACATGAGAAATGGTCAGCTGGAGGAAATGAACTTATTCACTCAAGTATTATTAAATGTAATGTTGTCGCCAATTATATCTACCAGAAAGAACGAGTAAAAGAAAATGAGAGAAAAGAAAAATTTCTTACCATGACTTTGATCCTTTATATACGGATACTTTTTTTTATTTTATCCATGATTTATCAGACAGTTTCATAAATGACAAATCAGTTTTTAAACTACCTCATGTGGAGTAAAAAAGAAAGATCGATATGACACTTTCAAATAAAAAAAACGAACTTCTTTTTTTTCTCTTCATATATTTATGTTGTAATCAACGACTATCGTTGTTCATTATTTGGCGGTTAGTTATTTGTTAATTGTGTAATTGCACGATCAGTGTGCTATATTCAATTTTTGGGTAATGTATGAAAAATGGTAGGTTAGTTGTACAGTAGTTTTTTCTACGTGAATTATTTCATTGATTAAGCAGCTGCTCATTTTTTTTTTTCTTCTTCTCTTTTAATATGAAATCAAACATTTATCGTGTGTTATTTTATTTTATTTTTTTTTATATCGTCTATATGAACGATGTGTTATTTTTAACCATCTATAAATATACAAGTAACTCTTCAACACCAGGATATCATTTCTTTGATGTTTAAATAAAATTTGATCAAAGCACGTGTATTAATCGTACAATTCTTTAAGAACTTCTTTTTATCATTTATATTGTTCACTATTACTAAAAATCTTCTTCTAGTAATAAAAATCTATTATACATGGTAGAGATAAATGTTAGTGAACACGATATTAAGCTAAATTATCATTGTAAGTTTTTATTAGTGTGTCAATGTATTAGTAATCCAGAGACTATCATACCTTTTATAAGAGAATTTTTGTAGTTTAGAAAATTTTGGTTGGATCGTCAATAAGAAAGGGTACCATTTATCCACTCAATATCAACATATGTAGATCCTTGTTTGGTTTTCTTGATGACAGCTCTCAATGTACTCAAAATCAATTATTAGCGATTTGTTTAGTTTCATTCTTTCACTCTATCCCCAATTTTTTTTTTGTGTAGTACCGATATGATATGTATTTTTCTAATGTTATCGATTACCTTATTTTTCCCTCTGTCCTTGTTTGATATATATATGTTTTGATTGTTCTCGCCTAGTTGCACGTTAGATGAAGCAAGATTATTGAAACAAATGTTATAGAGAAAAATTTCTTTCTTTCTTTAATATAGAGATTTTTCTTTTCTAAAAAAAAATCGATTATTCCCATATAGGTACGATGTCTCCATTGAAAAATAAATACTTCGTTTATTCCAGTGCTTGACTTGCTAAGGTTTCTCTTCTCAATCGAAAAAAATCTACTATTTTTAACGAAATTTGAAATTCATATAACTATGTAATGATTGTTTACGATTTTATTTCTTAAGATAGTAAATAGTCCATATGAATAAAAAAAACTCATATTAAACTAAATAAGAGAGCATATTCATTTATATGCAAATTTTCTACAGGTGATGCTCTCTCTACTGTTGTTTATTGTACATTTTCATTTATTTCACTTTTTGGTAACATTTTCGTTTAGTACAAGAACGGATAACTAGGGTTGCTTTGAGTGAAACTCGATGACGACGTTGTCAATAGCAAAATGGTTTTCTCAGTAGTGCTGAAATGTTTTTAAAATAATACTAATGACTAATAGATTAATTTCAAAGCAAAAGGAGATTTTTCAGTCAATAAACTGAGCGAAATGAAAACATCGTAAAGAAAACTATTTCTTAAATCAAGATGTTATTTTTCGAGTTCAAATTGGTTCTTTTTACAGAATATTTGTACATGAATATAAAATAAATGTGTTGTGGTTGACGATCCTTCTGGAACATTGATGAATTGTGATGAATTTATAATAAGCATCTTTTAGTAAGTACTTGCTTCTTTTTTTATCCATTTGAGTACAAAAAAAAACGATACAAACACTTTTTTTTTATAGTGACATACAAAAAAAAAACAGAATAGTGCCCACCTCAAACAAACACGATAGCTCACACTCGGGATGTTTTAGGAGAGAAGAAAAATAATAATAATATGAATAGTAGAAACAACCAAAATGAGAGAAGAATGTCGAATGAATTGTTTAATAACGTTGATGTTCAGTGTTATTATTATTATCAGAAGTATTTTTTCCTAGTAATGCCTGTGGTCGATGAATATTATTGGTGCTACTCCCTTCCCCATTCATAGCTGAAGATACAGACGATGATGAAACAGAGGCTGATGATGATGATGCGGATGTTGTAGCTGCCACGGCAGCTGATAACATACTGTATGGATAACTAGGAACACTTGATAGTCCAGAAAATGCTGCGGCTGCATTAGCCATAGCTAACGTACTATAAGGATTATAGGCTAAAGCAGCTGCTGCTGCATTTGTCGAAGAAAAATCTGATAGTTTTGTTGAAAATGGTGACGAATAAAATGGTGAGGTTGATGACGTTGGTGGTAACAGATTTCGACATTTTTCTAAATTCAATGCCAATGAATCATTTAAATGCTGAGATGTAGCTGATGTTAAATCGCTTAATGACAATGGATGATGAGAACTATGATGATGGTGTCCACTCGTATTTGTTGTTCCATTTGTTCCGACTGTTGCTTGAGATAAACTAAATCCACTGTAGGGATGATGAGGAAATGGAAATGGAAATGGAAAACGTTCTTTTTTCATTAATGATTTTGGTTTACGTCTCGGACGATATTTATAATCTGGATGCTCTTTCATATGTAATGCTCTTAAACGTTTAGCTTCATCGATAAATGGACGTTTTTGTTCTTCAGATAACAATTTCCATTCGACGCCAAGTCGACGACTTATTTCACTATTATGCATTTTAGGATTTTCTTGTGCCATTTTACGACGTTGACCACGAGACCATACCATAAACGCGTTCATAGGACGTTTAACATGATCGGGAGATTTTGAAATACCCGACATTTGATGATCAATCGTATCAAACAGATGGGCTAAAAACATATATTAAGAGGTGATTAAATACTGATATTTTAAAAGATAAAGATGTCACAACTATCCCGCCAAACAGATCGCTATTCTAGTAAAGTAAATCTGATCCTTGAAAGCGTAAAGAAAACCGCAGGACGATTTTACAAATATAAAAACGTTATACCTTTTCATCCAATAGAGAATTACCGTTAAAACAGTCAAAGCTTCCTGACTGGTTTAATTTTTTCAATGTACGATCATTGCTTATTTATGAAGATAAATCTCTATGATTTGTACATATATTAGCTGAAAAATGATTAACTAGTTAAAAATTCATAAACTCGATTATGATTTTACTGTCATGGTTATAAAAAAACACTGAAATAATGAAATTTCTTGACATATCATTTGCGCTTAGACACGAATCTAATTGTGTCTTTCGCTGATTGTAAAAGGCAAACATTTCTATAATAAATTCTATTTTATCACTTCACAACTGTTTTTACGTTCTTTTTGTCATCTGTTTGTATTGAGTTTTTAAAAAACAACAGTCAAATGAATATTATCGCGCACAGAGGTAATAATAGGAAGAATAAAAAAGATAAGACATTGTTATATTTTAAATCTCTTATAAATCTATCACATCAAGTCCACATACGACTTGACAAAATCTCGTTTCGAGCTTTTAAAATACAATAATTTAGCGGTAAAAGCGAAAGTAATTTATTAATAAAATATGATATTAAAGTGATGTGTAAAAAAAGTATTGTTCTTGCGAACAAATGAATATATTTTACCATAAAATAGACAGTATTCTTTTGTGGTTTAGTGATGTTTCTATTCAGCTTTCATAATTTTAATAAACTTGTCAAATATCTATTTGTCTCTTTCTAATTTGAATTTAATCGATGTAATGTATTAAATTTTTCTCTAGTAAAAAAGATGGTCTCATCTTATTAAGATTAGAACAAAAGATCTTTTGTTGTAAATATTTTAATTGTTGTTCATCATCACACTTATCTCATTTTGTTTTCTCACCTTTAATAACTGAACACAATAATTAGTACTTACTTGTCGGGAGTTTCTTCTTTCTTTTTTCTTTTTTTTTTGTAAAACAATTACAAATGAGAAATACCTTTCTTTTTTAAATGTTTCAAAATTGGATATGTAAAATATAATGTGAAGACACGCTCGTAGTTTAACAACAACAAAAAAAAAAAAAAAACGAAAAAGAAATAAGATAAACGTTTTATACGTACACATCATTAGTGACAGATATGCTTGACGTAGGATTTTTGTTGTAAATTGAATGAAATAAACGTACAAGTTAGTTGAATTATTGTTGTGTAAATCGCATGTAATGGATAAAAATTCGATGAGGTGTGTGCATCAATCAAAATTGCAAAATGCCGTGGTTTTTGTATATATATGTATGTATGTATGGGTGTAAGAATAATAAGACGAATAAAGATAATAATAACAACAATAACACAAGGGGTAAGATTTTATTCTTTTCTCTCCTTTTTTTTTTTACCACTTATTAGTATATTCTGCTCAGGTTTTTTTCTTGTGTTATAAAAAAAAAATCACAATACGAATCGTTGAAAGCCTATTATATTAAAAATGAAAATAGTTTTTTATATTCTTGAGAATATAATACAAAAAGAAAGAAAAACGCGAAACATAATGACTTGAACTTCTTATTTCGCTCATTTCTATACAATTCATTCGAGAGAAAAACCGTTCATTTTTTTTCTTTTCTATTTAAATGAGAGTGTTATTCTTGTTTTATTCAACCTTAAAGAATACAGCTTTTATATGTATATACACACACACACACACACATATATATCTATATATATCCAATAGAAGAAAAGAAAATTAAAAATCGTCAAACTATAAAAGAAATGAATTGATTGGGCCATTTTTCTCTTTTTGTCGGAAACGGGGAATGAAAACATAACAAAACGATTACAATATGTGTCTATTGGTAAAGAATAGAGAAAGAGAGAAACACATAGAAACAAATTATAAATGAAAAGAAATTGCTATATTCAAGAAGGCGTATAACGCGCTAAAGAATGAATATTTTGCAATAGAAGAAAAGAATATAAAAAAAGAGACACTTCATTTTGTGTTTTTCTTATTTTTATTGAAAACGTTTTTAATCGAATGCATCTTTTTGGTTCCTCTCTCTTTCTCTTTCTCTTTCTCTTTCTCTTTCTCTTTCTCTCTCTCTCTCTCTCTTTTTTTTCTCTCATTCTCGATGTGAATTTTATTTCAACAATAATGATAATAATAATAATAATACTAAACACACAAACGCATTTCAGCCCAAAACAAATTCACTTTCTCATTCTCTTTGATAAATTGATATATGTTATGCATACGAAATTATATAAAATACAAAAAATGTAACCTAAATTATAAAATAAATCACCTAACAAGAAAAAGAATGAGAGCCAGTAATAATAGATATTATTAAAATCAATAATTGTTGATTTATCTTGTTATTTTTATACATACAAGAATGACGAATGTAGATAAAAAAAAAGTGAACAAGTTTTTCATTCTATATCTTCAACATCCTCTCATCTATCTTAACGTTCGACTTGATCGAATTCAGATCGAATGAATGACTAGATCTTACAGAATAAAAATATTCGTTTATATTCTGTTACTGCATGTAGATCAGAGGCTCGTGATGACCTCTTGCTTATTTCTGTTTTGTTGTTAATAATTATCAATGGGAATGTTGATGATGATTCTAATGACCGGTGAGGGCGGACAGTTTATTTTGTTAGTGCAAATTTAATGTTCAATTAGATTAGACATAATGTTTAATGTGTTATAAATAAATCCATGAAGCTTAATCAAAATGAACTTTTTTGTTCGTTTGTGATCAAATCATAAATTTCAATTTCCTCTCGTTGATATTGTTCGAATCATCAACTTAAAACAAACAGACAAATCAAATCAAAGATCCTAAGAATCTGAAACTGTTCGCTTAAGGATGAGAAAAAAACATTTAAAATATTTTGGAATTGAATGAAGAATTCTAGCTATGTTTCCATTGTAAAAGTGAGATCAGATCGTAAAATAACTTTATTAAATTCAGATTTTGACGATGTAGACTTGGAACTTCTTGCATTCTTATTTAATATGACTTGAATGAGAGTACGTTATCTAAATGTTAATTTTCAATGAAAATAATATAGTCAGTCTTTTAGTCACTGTCTAGAAATGCTAACTGATGTTTGTGGTCAGGATATGTCAATGAAGTGACCATAAGTCTCCAATGGTATTATTAGCGACAGATCTCATCAAAAGAAATTCTTAGGATATAAGACATTATTCCTAAAGTTTTTTATAAAATAGTGACATTAAATACATATGAAAGCATTTGGAATTGTATCTGGAATAATTATAAAACTTTTTTCTCAAAAACTAGCTTAGCTCGTATTTAATTTCAATTATTGATAATTTCAAAAAAAAAATTTTGTTTGAAACATATTTATTATTATCAATGAACGTGCGTCATCTTCTTCTTATGCAATGTGCTAAATGTGGTATGCTCATGTATGCATGTGTATGTATGCGCGTATTGAATTAAGCGAGTACAAAATAAAATAAAATAGGGCTACAAACTAGTAATGATTGTTCGATAGTCTCTATCTGTCTATTTGACTTGTCTTTCATTCACTAGTTATAATGTTATATTGAGGCGAGTATGTGACACGTAAAAATGACGTTTTTTCTTCTATTTCCTTTATAAATGTAACTACATACACAAAGACATTAAATATAATTTAAACTTCTGTCCGGTGTATGAAAATATTGTTCACATAAATAGGGAAAAGAAGAAAAAAAATGTGTTCTTTCCTTATACAACACGTAACAATAAAATCATTCTTAAATGAGAACTATTTTCTCGTAAAGAGAAGTTGCTGAAATGTTTGTCAAACTTTATTGAAACAGGATGTAGAAAACGGAAAAACTGATCAAGAAGAAAAATAAAATAATAATAAGTTAAGTTCATGTTGAAAGAGAAGAAGAAAAAAATAAAATAAAATAAAGCAATTTAACAATGCCAACTGATAATAATTACCTACGCGTCTAGAGTAAAAAAAGATGCTGATTAATAATGAATAAGATACATAATAAAGAAAAATTAGTTGAAGCAAAAAGGAAGAACATATTTTTGTATTATTTGAGTTTGAATAGAATCATCTTTCTCTCTCTCTCTCTCTTTCTTTCTCTCTCATTCTAATAATCAGAGCACACTCACATCACTCATCAATTAACGACATATTCAAATATTTATTTTTATCATTATTATTATCTTTTATTCTTTAATGAAGACGTAATCAATGTGAAAAAATAAATTATTTAGATATACCATGTTGTGTCCAAAGAATTTTAACAATATTTGATTGAAAATTGCTAAAAGAAGAAGAAGATAAGTTTAGATAATCAAAATACATTGGTATTTCTAATATAGATTTTTAGTATATAATAAACATACTAAATTCAATGACAAGAAACTCGATGTATAAAGAGTATTGCAATACAATCTAAAAACGTTCAATAAAATATTGCTCAAATAGCTATTGTTGTTTGTATTGATAGAATAGCAACACGTTTACTTAAGTTAAACTACGTCAACTAAAAACAAAACATTTTTCTCAGTTAAAGTTTTTTAAGAGCAAACATTATATAACAACATATTCAGTTTAAAATAAGGAACAGAAAAAAAAAAAGACCATTTTAGTTTGAATTCGATGCGATTACCAATGTAATAGAGAATGTAAGTGTCTGTAAAAAGATTATTCTAATATAAGACATGTAGCTGTAGGAAATCAATTTTGTTTTGACCATCTATATGTGTGTACATGTTCAATTGATTATTATTATTTCTTATTGATATTCTATTTCTTTCTTTTGAATAAACCATAAGAAAAACATCGCGAATATGGCTGTAATTAAATTGAGTTGATGACGTTGAACTGTTACTGCTATAGTTGAAGAAGAAG